GGGGGGGGGGGGCGGCCGGGGGGAGGAAGGGAGACCTCTCGCGTCCGGTGACATTGCCGATCGGTCCCATCCCAAACCCAGGGTTGGCCTCTATTTCTCCTGGCTCTCCTCCTCCGCCTCCTCGGTCGCCGGGATGAAGGTCAGCCCCACACGCACATGGCAGTAGCCATCCGGCACCGGGCGCGACACCAGCTTCGGGCAGGTCCCGGCTGTGCTCGGATCGCGGGCCGTCAACACGCTCAGATACCGCGTGAAGCGCATCACCCCCTCGGTGCGCAGAACCAGCAGCAGATTGTTCGGCGCCGGGTCCGAGGAGAGCAGTGTGTCGTCGGCGGTCAGGTAGACTAGCTCCCCGCCAACGGACGTCTGCTTCGGGCCATCTTCATCCTCACTCTGGCTCTCATCGTCGTCATCATCGCCAGCGGCCAGCTCCGGCCAGGCGGTGTCCAGTGCCGGCTCCGCCTCCGCGGCTCCGAGGGGCGGCAAGACAAAGGACAGCTCCAAATCCAGGCCCTCATGCTCGGTGACATGGTCATGAACCAGGGTGTAGTCCCCGTGCGAGAACATCAACGACGAGACGGCCGTGCGGTGGGCCAGGGCCGAGGCACCGGATCCATCGGCCAGACCGGTGAGGATGCCAACCAGCCGGGCAAAGTCCGCCCCGGCCAGCAAACGCATCAGCTCGTCCAGGGCATCGGCCTCCTTCGCGCTGCCAGGCCCCTCGCCCAGCGACCCCAGCAGGCGCAAGTGCCGGCGGTTGGCCGGCCCCACTTGGCAGTCGGCCGCCCCGGGCTCACACAGCCGGCGCCGGCGAGCAGCCAGTGCACCCAGCACCCGGCCATGCGCCGTCGGGGTGAGGAATTGCCGCAGCTCGATGGACCCCTGGCCGAGGAAGGCCGACCGGATGTTCTCCGCCATCCGAGCCGACAGATACGGCCGGCTAATCCACTCTGTCACATCAAGCGGGCTGTCTTCCGCGGCTTCGGCATTCGAGGAGGCCGTTCCCGCCAGCGGGAAGACAGCCGGCTTCTCCAACACCGGGGTCGGCCGCGCGCGCACCGGGTTCGCCTCGCGACATGAGTGGAACCAACCACTGATGCTGATCCGCTCCTTCGAGGCGGTCAAGACCTCGGCCACTTGGTGGTGCGAGTCGGGGGTCACCTCGAACAGGGCAAATGAGCCCCACTTCGGGACGAAAGATCGAGCCACCGCGCGCGGCTGCCGCGAATCATCCCTGCTCGCCGGCGTTAGTGACAAGAAACACCCGCGCAGGCAGGGAGGGCAGGCTCCCATGAGACCGCGAAGCAGGGGGGACGTGCGCACATGTCAAACATGTCCAGGGCACCGCCATCGGCCGCATCCCAGTCCTCGTCCACCAAATAGATGATGTACGCCACTCGACGGCTATCCAGCTCGTCATCATGGCAAAGGAGGTAGTTCTACAACAATGATGATGATGATGATGGTGGTGGTGGTGGTGGTGATGGTGGTGGCAAGCAGGCGGTCAGGAGGGGCAGGAACAGGACCAGGTGTGGCGTACAGACAGGCCAAGAAAAAAGGGAGCCCCATTGGCCGGGACGCACCGTCTGTGCGTAGCGGTGGGCTGACATGTCCACGCGCTTGCTATCGAGCGGCACACCAACCAGGCGGCTAATCATGCCGGTGAACTCCTCCGAATAGACGACATCCCGAATGGCGGAAACACCAGGAAGCTAAGGGTGAATTGGCGCCCCATAGCTGGCGAGTCAGCGACAAACACCCGAGCCGGAAGCCCCATCCATGGAATTAGCGCGCGAGCGCGCACCTTGCTGGACTTCAGATCCAGGGACGATTGCAGGAAGTGGTACAGGTCATTGGACTTCTGGCTGAACACCTCGAGTTTGATCTCATCCTGAGAGATCGGAGGTCGACCGGGCAAGCGGAATCGAGAGGGGGAGAAAAATGGTCAGAGGCTGTGCACACACCCTCATGCAGGCAGTGGGGCGCGCCATTCACCCGGGCCGGAGGGCGAGTGGCCGCTCGCCGAGGGGAGGGCGGGTAGTCACCGGAGGGGCCAACGTACGCGGACTTGCTGCAGCATGGCCTGATCGAAGAGATTAAAGAGGCGAGCTGCCGGGAAGGGTCGCGTGTGGGCCTCCAGCACGCCGGGCTCGGTCACCGACTCGGGCATTGCCTCAGGAGGATTGAGCGGGTCCCGCTCCGGATCATTGATCTGCCGGAAGAGCGGGGACACGCGATCCAGCAGAGCCGGGTCTGGAGCGGGGCCCCATGACGGGAGCGTCTTGGCGCGCTTGCTCGGGGGCGGGGAGGAGGAGGAAGAAGACATGCCACTTGGGTCGGGGGAGGGGGGGGGGAGCAGGGAGGAGGGGCACAGGTGAAACTGTGGGTGGCGCCTGGCGTCCAGGGCCCGAACAGTCCGGCCGGCCCAGAAATATGCCTTTCCAAGACGCACGAAATTAGTCCCCCCCCCCCCACCCCCTCCCCGTCGCTTGCACGCGCGCGTGGCCCCGCGAGAGCTTGTGCATGGACGATGATGCCCAGATCGCTCACATCCCATCGGGCCCGACCGTCGCCGCTGGTCGGAAACAAACAACAACAGAACCCGGCCGATCTCGGCGCCTGGACGGGGGCGACATCCCTGCAGCGCCGCCGGGAGGCAGCGTGGACGGCCCAGGGGGGGGGGGGGGGCCGTTGCTCGTCTTGGTCCGGGGTCGCCCGATAAAAGAAAACATCAGCCAATGTACCGGCTCGCGAACAGCCAACGCCGGGCCAGCTTGGTGGCCCGGCGCGAGCCGGTGCCGGGTGCCCGGCCGAGGTCCAATGCTTCCCCATCAGCTCGCATGCCATTTCAGGGGCGCGCACGTGCGACCGCGGCCGGGAGATTTGGCCCCGCGAAGGTTGGGGGCCGCCCCCCCCGCCCCCCCCCCCCCCCCGCGCCCCGCCTGCCGCCGCCCGACACTCGGCCGGCGGGGGGGCCTCCGGCCCGCCTCCCCCTTCGCCCGGTGCAGGGGGGGGGGGGGGGGGGATGGGCCTTCTCGCCATCCTCTCGCCAGAGAAGGGGGGTCTTTTTTCTGCCCCTCGGGCCCAAGAAGTGCCGAGGGCTGGAGGGCAGATCCCCTCCTTCCGCCCGGACCTCCCCGCAGCCCCCCCCCCCCACCTTGCCTCTCGCACCCTCCCCCTCGCCGTCCGCCCCCCTCCCCTCCGAGCGGCGGCCGCCCACTTTCCACTCCGTCAGGAGGTCAACTGCGTCCGCTTCCGCCTCCGCCTCTGCCTTCCTTTTTCAGCCATGCGCATCACCGTGGACAAGATCAGCGCCAAGGTGGGCCGGGTACGATCCCCTCCGGCCGTCTCCTCACCGGCCTCTCGCCGCATCCTCTCCCTCTCTTCGCGCTCTCTCTCTCTCTCTCTCCCTCTCCTGCACCTTGATGATCCTGACCCCTGGCTCCCCTCTCACAGGTCATCGATCCCCGTACCGAGCGTACCCTGAACCTCGCTGGAAAGCAAATCACCGAGGTTGGCTCGCTTAAAGCGTTGACCAGCCTCGTGCGGCTTGATCTGTCTTCCAACCAGATCACCAACTTCAAGGCCCTGCGTGGCTTGCTGGAGCTGAGCAAGTCCCTGCGCTTCCTCAGCCTCGAGGGCTGCCCCGTCACCCAAGTGTCCGGCTACCGGTACTACCTGATTGCCCACTTGCCAAACTTGGCCAGCCTAGATGACAAGTACGAGCCGTCTCCCGGGACATGTCTGTCCCCCACCATGCGCCTCCCCGTGCCGGGGCGTGCTCTTGTCTGACCTGCTCATCTCCTCGCGCGAACAGGGAAATTACCCCGATGGAGCGGTCCAACGCCGTGGCAGCATACTCCGGAAACAAGCGCACGGCTCCCTCTCTGGCTCCCAGTGTCAGCACCTCGTTTGATGACGATTGCGATATTTGTGCGCTCCACTTGGCCATTCCCCTGCCTTCCGCCCACCTTCTCCTGGCTGACTATTCCCCCGTCCTCCTTCCCTCCTGCTCGGCCGTCCTCGTGTGATAGTCTCCACGCGGTCATCGGCCGCCGCGTCGCCCACTGACATCGGGGCGGCCCTGCGGGCGCCGGCCGACGGGGTGGCCTCGCCCACTGGCGCTGCCGCCGGTCGCCCGGCCGAGCAGCAAGTGACCCCGGCCGCGGCTGCTGCTGTCTCGGCCGCGGCCCAGGTGTCTGCCAATGAGGCGGCCGCTGCGCTGGCTCGACCAGCTGTCACCCCGGCCGCGGCGGCCACCCCGGCCCCGGGCACCGCTGGTGTCCGCATTCGTCGAACCACCATCAACAGCATGTTCCGGGGCGACTCGGATGAGGACGACTTCATCTTCAATTCGCAGCCGGCTCCCGTGTCGACCCGGCGCTCCGCCTCGCGGACGGTCATCCCCGCAGAGGCGCCCACTCCCGGGCCGCCCGCCCAGGAGGAAGTATGTCTTGCCTGCTTCTCACCGGGCCACCATGGCGCTCGCACCATTCTGACATCCTTTCTCCCCCTTAGCGCCCTGCTGCCCGGCCACCGGCTCGCCCTCGGCCCGTCGCCCCGCGGCCATACTCCTCAACGGCCCCAAGCACCAGCCCAGGGACCCCAGTCACCTCTCATATGCTCCCTACAACGGCCGTTTCTGCCTCCGCCGATGAGATCCCCTCGGCCACTATCCGCCTTCCGCTGTCGGCCGGACGAATCATCATCGAGCCTGCATCGAGCCCGGGCAGTGGCGCAACAGCTGCCTCTCCGCCGGCCTCCCCTCCGACCATTCCCCCGCGCCGAACCGTCCCCGCTACCCTGGCCCCGACTCCGACGCCTTATGTGCCCACCTCGGCCCCGGCCCCGGCTCCGGCTCCGGCTCCAGCTCCGGTGCAGACTCCGACGGTGGCCACGGCTCCAGCTGCGGCCCCGATGCATGCTGCCACCTCCGCCCCGGCACCAAGCGCGGGTCTCGAATCCAAGCCCTCGGTCAATCCGATCTTCAACTTGCCCGACACTCTGGACGACTCGCCGCCGGTACCCGTCCAAAGCAACCCCTGGGAGACGGCCACCGTGTGTCCGGATTTGCTGGCTCTCGACCGCCAGCAGGCCGCCCATGCCGAGGCGAAGGCCCAGTCTCTGCACATCGACGACCCGTGGTCCAAGCCAGCTCCCGAGCTTGAGCCACTGCCCGCTTCTCTTGTGCCGCCTCCCGAGCCGGAGCCGCTCCCATTGCCGGAATCTGTCCTGGTCCCCGAAGCTGTGCCGGCCGATTCTCTCCCTCTTCCGGTGGATATTTCCCCCTGGGCCCTGCCCACCCCGGCCCCGGCGCCTGAGCCGGAGCCCTCCTCCAGCCAGGACATCTTCAACCCGTGGCTGGCACCGACGGCCGTTGCTGCTGCTGCTCCTGTTGCTGCTGCTGCTGCTGCTACTGGCCCAATTGTCGGGGAGAACCCTGTTCACGACCTGCCGGCCAGCTATGATGCCCCGGCTGCCTTCGATGTTCCGATTAGCTATGCTCCCCCTGTCGGCCTCGATGCGCCGATGGTCTTTGATGCGCTTCCCTCCTCGGGCGATCTTTTTGGATCAAGCATGCCCACCTATGATCCTCTTGGCTTTGGCGGGACGCATTCGACCGTTCCGGCCCCGGCTACTCCCGGGTCAGACGCTGCTCTTTTGGATCCCTGGTCAACTGGCACCAGCGCTCCTGCCTTTGTGGATCCCGGCGCATCGGCATGGGCCTCGGCATCTGACAATAGTCTCTTTGGCGGGACCATCGCCTCCGACGACATTCCAAGCGGCTCTTCCTCCTCCCTCAGCACCGCACTGGATAACCTCTCCTTGGCCACACACTCCCCGTGGTAGTAGTCCGGGATCCGGCCGGAGGCCAAACACCAACAAGCCCGGCGACACGCCTCCTCCCGGTCCGAGAGGAGCACACATCCCCGCATGCTCACCGCAAGCAGTCCTCCTAGGAAAAAGCCCGCACCTCTTCCTATCTCCCGCCCACACGGACACACACACACACACACACACAAACCTACATACATACGCACACGCACACGCGCGCACACACAAGTATCAATGCTTGCGCCCCGCTCTGTAAGCGCGCCCATGCGCGCGATCACGCCCTCCCGCTACCCAGTCAACACGGGACAGTGCAGCGCGCCATCCTCCTCTCAATCCTCAGCTGGGAGAAATAGACACCGTCTCCTTGGGTGCTTCACATCGCGGATTTTGACAGGCAATGAACATCGAAAAAAGAGCCAAATAGGACACGAGTATGGGGGATTTATGAAACTTGTTATTGGGGTGTTGTACAAGGGCAGGAGGGGGAGGGGGGGGGAGGAAGGGGTGGCGGAGACAACGCGCAGCGCGCCAGCGCCTGGGTCGGAGGTGGTGGGATGCGGCGGCGCAAAAGCCAGGGAGGGGAAATCTCAGCGGGGACACCCGCCGCTCCTCTTGGTCCACAGACAGCTCTTCCCCTTGCAGGAGATAAGAGAAGCGTGAGGGAGTAGGCATGCTGGGACGCCACATCATCTGAAAGCATGCACAGAGAAGGGGAAGGAGGGAGGGGGGAAAAGATTGGTTGATGGGAAGCAGCGGGGGAGGAGGCGCGGCTGACGAAGGACAGGGGGGCACCCCGCAGAGGGGGGAGGAGGCTGGGAAAGGCAGGGAGAAGTAGAAACCACCGTGGAGACCCCGAGACGGGCGGCAGCAAACGAGAGGTCCCTCATTTACTGGGAGTCACCCTTGGCAAGGAAGAGCTTGGGCAGAGCCTGACCAGCGAACTGGCTGACCTGCTTGCAGTAGGACTCGATCTGGGTGCACTGAAGCAGAGCGTTCAGGCGGGACTCCTCGGTGACGGCCTGCTAAAGGGCAAGGAAGATGATGGGCACATGTGAGTCAACGCAGCCCGGATCGATCGGGGGGGGGGGGGAGGGGGGGGGGGGGGGGGGGGGGGGGCAGGGGGGGGGGGGGGGGGAGTGTCGAAGACGGGCAGGGAGAAAAGACAGGAGAGGAACATACCTTCTTGTTATGGAGGTAGCGACCACCGTACTGGCGCATGCTGGCAGTAAGGTGAGTCTGGTCGTTGATGCGATCGGCCAGAGCGTCGATGACACGCTCGAAGTAGACGTTGTCCGGGAGCTGTGTGTATATATATATATGCGCGCGCACGCGCAGACGCGAGAAATCGAGAAGAGCACAAAGAACCCATCAGACAAGAAGGGGGAAAGGCGAGGGACAGGCCCCATTTTCGGAGACGGCCAAAGGGTTAGAATGCCGCGACGAGATCGAGAGAACCAGGATGGCGGGGAGGGGGGGGGAGGAGGAGGGCACGCACCGACAGCTGCGAGAGGTTGGTCTTGTTCGGCATGTCGAACAGGAAGGCGCTGACCAGGGCAGAGTTGCGGATGGTCAGGGGGATCTCCTCGAAGATGTTGTCAAAAGTCAGGCCAGCCTTGGCATAGTCCTCCGAGGGGATGCGGCGGATGTCCTTGGCAGCGCTCAGGGAAAGGAACTCCTTGGAAATGCGGAAGGCGCGCAGGGCAGCCGCGCCGTGCTGGCTGCGAATCGGGTCGTAGGTGATCATGGTGGCGGTGGGGTGCTCCAGGGCCAGGAAATCATCAATCACCTCGAAGCTGACCACCTCGCCGAACTGGATGGCGCGGTACAGACCGAAGACGTTGGCCTCGACATTGAAGTCCACCAGGGCATCGAGCATGCTGGAGGAGTAGGCGATCTTGTCTGGGAGTGCCAAGGCACCGGTTTGGGGGCGAGGACCAAAAAAAAAAAAGAAGAAATACAAAGGCGGCAAATAGAGGGGGAGAGGGGCAAACGTGTGGGTGAGACGGGGGCAAGCACGGGGGAGACGAGCGGGCAACGAATCATCAAAGAGCGGGATGAAAGAAACGAGGGAGAGGCGAGGAAGAAGAAGAAGAAGAAGGACGAACCGTCGCGGATCTGCGCCGGCGAGATGCTGAAGCCCCAGGAGTTGTTGTTGGAGATGGCACCCAAGTTGGGCAGAGCGTAGCAGTGGCTCAGGTTGGAGACAATCGTGTTGGCCTGGGTCGGGTCGGGGGTCTGGAAGCCGAGAATGTGCCCAGTGGCGTTGGGGCTCTCATTGCAGTGCTTGATGATGCGCATCAGGACCAGGGCATCAATGGTGACCGAGCCGAGGACTGGGGGAAAGGGAAGCGAGGAGGGGGGGGGGAGGGATTGTCAGGGGAAGAGAAAGTGATTAAACCCCCCCGGCCACAGAGGCAGCAGCCAATAGAGAGCAGCCAAACCGAAAGACCAGGAGGATCCAGAAACGAAACGCACTGGCATCGTTGGGGATGGTGGGGACGGCCGAGGAGGCGTTGGCGGCGGCGGCGGCGGCGACAGACATCGTTGCTGGATGGGAAAGGGCGACGCGAGATCGAAGTCGGAACAGGCGCAACTACGAGGAAGGAGCGAGGCGGGAGGCGAGGAGGGGAGAGAGAGGGGGGGGGAGGAGCGCGGGGCGAGGTGCAAGGCGGGGGCGATGCAGGTGAGGGGGGGGAGGAGGGAGAGGCCGGGCGCGGTGTGCAATCTGACCCTTTGAGAAGAGAGAGGAAGCCCCTCGGGGGAGACGCGAGCCGGCGACCGGGCGCCCTTTCTGTGTGGAGGAAAGGCGTGCGAACGAGGGGGAGAGAACGCATGCGCGGAGGGTATTTTGAGGCTTGATTGAGCCTTCAACGCCCTCCACAGGTGGCCACCAGTGGGACTTCGCGAGCCGCCGCAAGCCGCGGAGCACGTCCTCCGGGGGGGACGACAACCCCCCTTTGGATGGCTCGAGGGGAGGAGCATAGCGTGCAGCGCCCCGTGCATTTCACGGGTGCCGCGCGGTCCGCCCGAGACACGGCCAAAGGCGGTGTGCCCTCCGGGCATCGGTCGCCTGCGCTACGCGGCCACCACGCCCCCGGGAATCTAGTCCGCCCAAACACCCCCCAGCCCGCCCCACCGTTCCGGGACTGTGCGGGGACACACATGCCGGCCGCGCGCACACGCGCCACAAGTGGCCCCCCCCCCCCCCGGTCCGCCCTCGCGAACAGGGGGGGGGGAGCCTCTACACGCATCGAACCCCGCCTCCCAGGACATAACGTAAACCTACTGTTTGCCCGGAGTCCAGGCGACAATGGCTGGAGCCCTGAACCAGCGGAGTGCTGTGCGGCTCGGAAGATGCATCCACCCGACGGAGGGGGTTGTTTCTAAATGCCCACGGATGTGTCATTGGACACGCGTGCGTGATCAGCGGCCATCGGTCGCCGCTGGAACCAAAATGCAACCCGTCGGGCTGGCCAAACAGAAGACCGCCATAATGCAGAGCTTTTCGCCTTCCCGAGCGGACGATATCTGGGGCCAATATTTATTCGGGCCCTGTGTGTCGGGGGAGGGGGGGAGGGGGTATTCTTCTTCCCCGCCCTCGGCAGTCGACGTGTTGATTCCATCGACGAAAGTGAGGAGCGCGTGGCCGGGGGGGG